CAGCTACATTTCAAAGGGAAGATTTATGCTTTTCATTCACTACACTGAACAAATTTAAAAATAATCAGAAGACTATAAAATGATAGAACAAAACATCTTAATTTTTTTGCTGTAACAAAGCCTGCTCGGATTGGGGCTGAGCATCCTCCACCCAGATCCTCCATCTTCCAGTAGACAGGGGTCACACACACTGGCGCCAGGTAATCCCATCAACTGCCAAGACCCAGAGACTATAAAACCCAGCTCCTGGAAGCGACATCTTATTATCTCGTTCTTACTTTGGACAACCTGGCAGGCTACTGAATATAACCTGCCCACATGGCAGAGTCTGGCAAACTCCCCGTGGCGTACCCATTATGCCAAATACCAGTAACAATGATGGGTCTCATTCTCCTAACCTTGAAGGAGCCTTGAATATGGCACTTTTTAAAGTCTCAGGGCTAGGACAAAGGAGATGTTACTGGTCGATTGCTCGAGGCAATCGATGATCAACAGGATGATCGTGATTGTGAACAAAGTAAAGAAAGAAAAACACGATCATCTTTTTAAAGTTAGACACATTCAAAAATAACTCAAGTTATTTTGGAACATCTTCAGGCACTTGATGGTACTTTAGGTGATTAAGTGGTAATGAATATTGAGTCTGTCATAATAAGCTTGAACATGAACAACTATCTAACATTTTTACAGCTTGTCTTTTCACTTTAAAACAGAAATTGCAATGTAGACAAATAACATCAGGACTATCTGAACAAAGAAATAAATGAGAAAAAATAAAAACATCTCTATATCATATCATAGTGTTATAAGCTCATATCAGGGTCCTGTGGGGATCCCAAATTATTCTCTGCGCACTAGGCAGATATGGTGGTGAAAGTAAATCTTGGGGTTCTCTATGTTATCCTCATCAAGTATCTTTTTTTGCAATAAAGAAACTTTTAGAAAGTTTTAAATCTCTAAATTTATTTACTTTTGCACTACTTCTTTTTTTTTTTCTTGTCCATCTTTCAGTGCCAGAAATTTTGTGCTGAACTTTTATTAAGGGTTCATAATTTTTTGTTTCCTTTAAGAAAATGACATACTGGGAAGCAATAGGTTCAACATGGAAAGATTTTGATAGACGCTGAAGTTAATGCTCATACCTGCTTTCTTTATCATTTTCTATCATCAGAATGAACTACCATTTTATTAAATCTGGACCTTTCATTTTGGAACACTCATACCTGCTAGCCAATGGTCTCGCAACATTGTCAATAGTATTTACAGTAGTATTTTGTTTTTTCCAGTTATGGGATCAGACATAGGCCCTCATGCATGCAAGGCCAAAGCTGTATTTCTGAGCAACATCCTTGGCCCTGCTACAGAAAATTTTATTTATTTTGGTTTAGGGACCACTTCTGACTCTGAGCTCAGGGAGCAGTCCTGATGGGATTTGGGAATCATATGGGGTGCTGAGGATCGAACCTGGACTGGCTGCATGCAAGGCAAGTGCCTGACACTCTATGATCTTTCCGGCCCCACTACAGAAAATTTTAAAATAATTTCACTCAGATGACACAAATGTTTTTCTTTTCTTTGGTTCCAATGAGATCAGAGTTTTTGAGATACCAGTTCCACTAGCCATTAAATAATAATACCTTAAATAATACCATTAAAATATTAAAAAAGATCAAAATTGGGAAAAAGATTGGACCACACTTTGTAGTGTGTAGAGGTTATTCCTGACTCTGTGCTAATGGGTGACCTTTGGAAATGCTTGGAAAACTATATATGGTGCCAAAGATGACACTGGGATCAACCACACTCGAGGGAAGTGTCTTATCTTCTGTTCTCTCTGGCTCTAAGATCAAATATTTAATCTACTATTAACTGAAATATTTTGCTTTATTTTAATATCATTAATATATCATAATGAGCTCATTATGATCAGACATCTGCACGTACTTCAAGTGTGCAGGCCAAATAAATGGCATAAACACAGACTTTAGATATCTGTGCTAGGAATCTCTACTCAAGTACCCTTATATTTGAGATTGTGTTACTTTAATAAAATATATATAATCCATGGATAGGGAATATGCTTCCATTTACTCGTGTTCCCTTCAATTCCTCTGGCAGTGATTTACAATTTTATAACACACTTGCCCAAAACATCACAGGAATTCCCACAGTGAGTGGGCCAGAGCTACAGTACAGCCAATAGAGCCCTTGACTTGCCTTGGATAGCACTGTAGCACTGTCCTCCTGTTGTCATTGATTTGCTCAAGCAGGCCCAGCAACGTCTCCATCATGAGACTTGTTGTTAATGTGTTTGCCATATCAAATACATCACGGGGAGCTTGCCAGGCTTTGCCGTGCAGGCGAGATACTCTCGGCACCTTGCCAGGCTCTCTGAGAGGGGCAGAGGAATCGAACCTGGCTTGGCTGGGCCGGCTGCGCGCAAGGCAAACACCCTACTGCTGTGCTATCGCTCCACCCATTGCCTTGGATAAAAATAATAAATGATCTTTTGTGATTGAAGTGACTTTTGAAAAGCACCTAAGAATGTGGGCTGCAGTCAACCATGATTAAAGGAGTCAAACTGCCACAGACACACAGACCAGACATAGATACACATAGACACAGCCATACACAAAGACATGTGCACACACCCATCCTGCCTCCAGGGAGAGAGTTGAGGGGTTGAATAGATGAGGGACAATGATTTAGTCGATTGTATCCATGTAAAGAAGTCTCCACAGAAACCCAAAAGCTGGTTTCAGTGTTTTCTGTTGGTGAACCAGAATGTGTTCATGCCAGGCCCACGAGAAGAAGCTTCTTTGTTTTCAGAATCTTGCCCATCTAATTTTTCTTTAATTTGACTATTGATTCACACCGTTCAGTATTATTTGCAATATACTAGTAATCTAGTGAGGAATTGGGGTTTTCTGAATTCTCTGAGCCATTCTAGCAAAGTAACGGAACCCAAGGAAGAGCAATGGACTGGGAATATCTTATCTGTTCCTGGTTGGTAAGAGAAGAGGTAACACCTGAGTTGATTTTGTTTTGGTTTTAGGGCCACACCAAGCAAAGCCCAGGGCTTACTCCTGGCTATGCACTTAGAGATCATTCATGGCAGGGCTCAGGGGATCTTGTGGGACTCTGGGATGAAACCTGCATCAGCCATGTGCAAGGCTAATATCCTACCTGCTGAACTATTGCTCTGGCTCCTGAGTATACTTTTGGCATTTAAAATGGAGAGTGGTTTCATGGGACTGATTTCCTTAATCAATGAATTTGAGACCATCAATAAATGGTGTCATAATTTCATCACACTGTTCACTTGGTTAGTGTTCAAGTGTTACGTGGTGATAAGGAATATTCTGTACACAGCAGAACTGGGTATAGAACTATTTCTATGTTCTACTTCTCAGATTCAGTAGGGGGTGTAGAATATCATCCTGAACTTACAAGCAGAAAGACATCAATGGGTGTTAAGTGTCTATTCTTTAATATAAAATAGGGTAACTTATACTAATGAACAAAATATCAAGAAATAATTTCAAACAAATGCTAATGAACCCATTTATTTGTTAAAAAACTGTCAGAGGCTGAGCCAAAGAGAAAGTCTAATTATGTCAGTATTGACCCCAAACTTAGGATTGGAAAAAATACTAATTATTTTTTTCCTAGATAATGCAGATAAAAATTAAGTGTAATTAAAAACTAACTGTTCCTTAGTGGAAATTATAAACATAAATGAACCTCCCATTTTACCAGAGGCAGAGATGTTCGTTAAATAAACACAGAGCTCCAGCTCTCATGCACTCTCTATAATTACGCTTACTTAGTCTTTTAACCCAGAGATTTCCGCACACATCTCCACTTCATACACTCAGTAGATTGTATCTTCACAGAATATTCAAGAGTCTTTTGACTAATAAAATAATGTAGACTGGCAGTTTCAAAGAAAGTGATGTCTGGCTTCTGACAGGATTTCAGCTTTAGAAGAGTCTCGGCAAGCTTTGTATAAATGCCAACCCTGAAAAAGTCATTCAGCCTCCCGGCCCCACCTCTCCTGGCTGCAGGAGACAAGCCAGGACTGCAGAAGTATGGCAGGGGAGGAAAGAGGTCAACTTACACACAAAAGCCCCGAGCCCCACTTTTCCCAACATCCGCCAAGGGTGTGCACTGACAAGAAAATGTGATGCAAAAGAAATGAAGAGCAATGATTCACAACGCTGTTTACCAAGGCAGGGAGGAGGCTGGAGAGGTATTAAGTAATAAATGTGGAAACATATGGCCAAATGAAAAGTTTTGGCTGATGAGTAAGTGAAGGAAACTTGGAGAATTAAGCATAATACAGGGAACAAATTAATTACCAAATGATCTCTGGCTTAAACCATTTGTTTAAAGAACAACTTAAAAGCAATGAATCCATTGAGGAAAAATGAGATGAGAAAAAAATCAAATCAAAACCAAAAAACAAACCACAACTCCACTCCCCACAAAGTTATAATACCAAAAAAACCCACGTTCATAATTCTATACGTATTTGTAGTTCACACAAAAATGAACTTCTATCGGGACGGGAATGTTGTACAATGGTAGAGTGTTTTACAGACATAAATTCATAAATTCAGTCCCCCTACACCACCCACATGGCTTAGTATGATGGGATCAGTACCACCCCAGGATTTCCAGAATCATCACAGTGTTGTGATCTCAACCCATCACAACCAAGTACACAAGCACTGGAGAACATCACACCCAGTGTGAAGAACAGCAAACACAGCAGCAAAGGCAAAGAAATAGTAAAACCCAGCAATGTCACCCAACTTTCATGCATAGGTTCCATCTTCTTCCATATGGATTTCCTGAATATTGATTGATTGGATCATTCATGGAGCAATTTGACTCTATAGAAACTGAACTACATGAATTGATAAACATTTAGTATAAGAGAGTTTCTTGTAAAGCTACAAGAGCAATAACACCAACACGCAAATGATGTGACTCACCGTCCCCTGGATCAACGATCTCTACTGTGGCCTCGGTGGGGAATTCTAAGGCGGCCAGTACAGGTTCGGAGAGAACCACCTGGAATGTCTCCGAGTGCTCATGCTCCCCGTCGCTCAGAATCCGCACCCTCCACGTTGCTCGTGTCTGGCCTGGGTTGAACTGTACCTGTTTCTGAGCTTTGCCCTTGAAATCTTTGTCTTTTTCCGCCGTCCCATCTCTCGTGCCAATACCTTCACAGAATCATAGAACCAGCTTAGTTCCATTGTCAACTGGACTATTAAGATTTTTCTTATTGTTGACTTTTGTGTGCCCCAGGTTGTCTCCCAGTGCAAAGTTATTATTGCTTTGTTTCTAAGAGATAAGCAACCTGGTACCAGTTCTACACTGAGAGTTCTACTACAGGAACAATGAATTCAGAGTCTGTTGTACTTTTGCCCCTATGAGATGATGGTTTTGTTACCTGTTCTCTGTGTTGTCTGCATTCAAATTTCTAGTAAAACAAAGCCAAATCCATTGCTTTGCAATATTCTTACTCATACAAGTTCCTTGATAAGAAAAACTCTTCATATTCGCTTACCCATGTGTTATATGCATTTGTCATAAAAATATTAGAAAAAATAGAAAAATAGGAGCCAGTCATAGAAAAACATGAGCTAAAGACTTCTTTGATAACCTAAACATAAATGACTAAGCATAATGGAAGGGAAAAGTGATAATAGTCTCTAACTATGGAAGCTAATCAGAATTTAATTCAATGTTTGTCAACATAATTTTTGCCAGATTTTTCTTGGTGGAGTACTCCAAGGTCCAATGAATGTGTGTGAACAGAACTGAAGAGATAAATCTGTAAGGATCTTGCAAATTGTTTGTTTGACTGACTCTGTTTGTTCACTCAAGGTTAATTTCAGCTGAGAAAGTTCTACGATCTATGAGTCTTCACCAGACAACGCCATATTCTCATATTTTTAAGGCTGTCAACACATTCAATGTCATAGAACAATAATAAAATTATGGTGATACTTACAATAATATATCCTGAAGATTGGCTTAGAAACTCATAGCAAATAAATGAGATTAATTGAATAATTTTCGAATATATTTCTTTAAGTACTGGTGTTTTCAAAGTACTTATTTAAGTACTGGTGTTTTCATATCCAAAGAATTTGGATATGAAACAATGATTCTCAAAAGGAAAGGAAAATCTTTAGTAGCATGAAAATAGTCTGAAAATGATTTTTTTGTAGTAATGTTTCTCATTTAATTGAAAAACAAACTAATTTTCTTTTTAGAGTCAATGTTTTGATTCTCAAATTAGAAATGAAATAAGATTAAATAAGATTTATCCAGCTCCAATAGAATAGTCACAGCTATTCACGGTGAGCCTTCTGCATGCAGGAAGTACTCTGTACTAAGTGTAGGGGCTGTGCCAGAGATCAAAGTGGACAAGAACCCTTGGCCCATGATGATCACATAAGATGGATTTGAATATTTGTTCATCTGAACATATCACTGATAGTTTCATCTTAAAGACGAAAATAAAGATTTCATTAGAATATGTCTTAGAAATCTCATAAAAATAACAAATATAAACATTGCCCTTTTTACCATGGCAAGGAAAACATGATTTGCTGAACCCAGAACTAGAAAATTCTAGCATCATACATGATAGCTGAATGGCAGATTTCCTGTGACCTAACACATAACAGAGTAGCTGCCTGGGTCACCCTGGCAGGACTCAGGGATTTCTCAGTCTGTGCTCAGGGAGCACTCTTGGTGGTGTCAGCACATTTTGAATTCACCACCACTAATCGCTCCTGTGACAACCAAAGGGACTCATTCTCTCAGAAGTTTCAGCACACATGTGTCCATTTCTCTCTGCTGTCCCCAGAGGCATGGCCAACAGAAGAATGTGTTAGTCTTTGATAACATTGGTCACTTAAGTGTTTTGTTTCATCAACAGTGCATTATTTTCCTGCAGATTTAAAAGGCAAGTAAGGGGCTAGTGAGAAAGTACAGAGGGTAAGGGTGCTTGTCTTGCACACAGCTCACTTGGGCTAGGATTGTTTCTGAGCCTGCCAGGAATTATGCTGAGCAGAGAGCTAGGAGTGATCCCTGAGCACCACTGAGTATGCCCTCAAAACAAACAATTTTTAAAAAAGGTACTGATAAACAAAAGGGCTGGAGTGATAGCACAGCGGTAGGGCGTTTGCCTTGCTCACAGCCAGCCTGGCCGAGCTGGGTTCGATTCCTCTGCCCCTCTCGGAGAGCCCGGCAAGCTACCGAGAGTGTCTCGCCCTCACAGCAAAGCTTGGCAAGCTACCCGTGACGTATTCGATATGCCAAAGACAGTAACAACAAGTCTCAAAATGGAGACGTTACTGGGCCCTCTCGAGCAAATCGATGAACAACAGGAGGACAGTGACAGTGATAAGCAAAAATGGAATTATAGTATACCAATGTCCACTCATTCAACTGGTCATCCTTAGTAAATGATAGTCAAATCATATAATATGGTTTAAAAAAAAGTTGAATTAGCAGATTCCAAAACGTTACTGCGAACTTCCTTGTAATTTTTCTGGTGAATTTTATAAGAGATTTCCTATTCGATCTAAGTTATAAACAGACAGTATCTTTGATTCCTCAAGCCAAAAAGAACCAACTGTTTTATAAGAAAGGTAATTAAACTTCTAAGAGTTGATGTGCTGCTCAAACATAGGATAAAACTAACAATGGTTGTTGACTTTTGAAAAACTAAAACAATTCAATGATAAAATACTAAATTTGGAGTCAAAAAATAAAGATTTCTTCATAAAAGTTAGCATACGGTCTATTCTTTGAGCAGCCCCTTTACTCTGTGACTTACAGGGTGGTCTATGAGGACTAGCCTGAACATTAAGAAACTTGGGAAAAATGCAGAATTGCAGGCCCCACCTGAGACAGAATCAGAATCAGCATTTAAAAACATACCCAGGTAAATTGTCAGTGCTTTTTGGTGAAGGGTTGAGGCCACACCCAGTGGTACACAGGGATTACTCTTGACTCAAGAGATCACTCCTGGCACCGCTGGAAGAATCATATGGGATAGTGTGGGGTTGAACCACGGTCAGTCATGTGCAAGATATATGTCTAACCTACTGTACTATCCCTTCAACTCTAAAGATCCTTTCCCATAGATGTTCCATATTGGGGGGGGGTCACACCTGGCAATGCACAGGGGTTACTCCTGGCTCTGCTCTCAGGAATTACTCCTGGCGGTGCTTAGGGGACCATGTAGGATGCTGGGAATCAACCTGGGTTGGCCGCATGCAAGGCAAATGCCCTACCCGCTGTGCTATCACTCCAGTCCCTAAATGTTCCATTTTAATAAGGAATGAAGAATTGTGTGCACATTGTGAAGGAGACATTTTGTGACAAGTAGGTTTTCTTTTATTTTTTTTTAAATAATGCATTGACATGGGAACTTGAGAGACAGTATAGCAGGTAACATGCTTGCCTAGCATGGAGTCAACCCAACTTCAATCCCCGGGACCCTTATGTAGCTTTAGTCCATTAACTCAAGTGTACGGAACTTAGTAAGGAGTCAAGAACATGTTAACTGAGCCAGAGAATAAAATCTTGATGTAGGGAACAAAGGAGACTTAACAGGATTTAGGAAAACCCTTAAATTTAATAAATGTTCAATAACAAGCAGCAGAAATAAGTTCTATAAAATTTAAATACTTTGAGAAACACAAATAGATATTTAATTTATCTGGGGCAATACATGTATACAAATTTATTGTGCAGGTTTTATCTGCTGTCCCAAGGTTGAACCTTCACATGAGATCTGCTCATGTGGCAGAAAGGGAAACAAAAGTAGCTGCTAATTTTCGTGTAAAAATTAGGGAGTGTTTTCAGAAATCTTGGCAGAAGATTGTTAAGACGACTTGGTAACAGATACAGTTTAAAACAACACTAATATGTAGTGAAAAAGGAATAGGATGATCTACAGTCCATGTAAAATTGCTTCCATCAAAGAAGCCTTGTGGTGCTAAGCTTGGGTTGTGCTGGCCCTGAACAGCTTCTACAAAATAAACACTGAATGCCATTTGTGCTAAAAGAAAAAAATGATCCTCTTCAGTTTCTTTTGGCTAGTGAAAACAAATGTATATAGAGGATCTTTTTTAAAACAAAGAGGCAGAATGCAAACTTTCAGTGGGGAAGTTGGTACCCCATAGTTTATGCTCTACTGACGGTACCTGATGTTACATAAGAGATGTCCTGTCTAGCTATAAAACAATACTAAGAGTCCATCATATTCCTTATAAAATTAAATGATCAAAAATGTAGAATATAGGACTGGAGAGAGAGTGAGTAGGGCATTTGCCTTGCAACCAGATGACCTGGGCTCAATCCCCAGCATCCTATATTGTCCGCTGAGTCCACCAGGAGTGATTCCTCAGTGCAGAGCCAGGAATAATCCCTGAGCATCACCTGGTGTCACCCCCAAACAACAACAACAGGTCCTGGAATATAATACATACTACAAAAATTTCTGGAAGTCTTCAAATGAAAGTGTTGCTTGTAAAGGAACAGTTACACTAAACATATGCGGTGTAAAACTTCAACCAGTCTACCTTCCCTTTAATCTCACTTCCATTCCAGTCTTTGCTGGAATTCCACAGCCATTTACAACAACAGACAAGAACAGGTCAAGAAATCTTTCCAACTTCCTTCAGGTTACTGAATAACCTTGTGGAGTTAGTCAGCTCATCTGAACACATGTAGGAAATAGTCCCTTGGGGAAAAAAAAAGAATTTCAGTAAAAAAAAAAGAGCTTGTCTGACATTTTAGTATTCTGCACTAAAAGAAAATAATAGAAAAATATAAACAGTTAAAAATAATTTTTTAGCCTGCCAAGAGAGAGTACGTGGAATATTGTCTGCCATGGAGGCAGGGGGAGGGTGAAGAAGGGGGGATATACTGGGGATATTGGTGGTGGGGAATGTGCACTGGTGGAGGGATGGGTGTTTGATCATTGTGTGATTGTAACCCAAATCATTGTAACCCAAACATGAAAGCTTGTAACTATCTCACAGTGATTCAATAAAATGAAAGAAAACATTTTTGTCTATTAACTTTCTCATAAAGTTAAAGGCCCTCCCGTTGATCGTCGATTTGCTCGAGCGGGCCCAGTAACGTCTCCATTGGAGACTTTGTTGTTACTGTGTCTGGCATATCGAATACTCTCGGTAGCTTGTCGGGCTCTCCGAGAGGGGCGGAGGAATCGAACTCGGGTTGGCCATGTTGGCCGCTTGTAAGGCGAACGCCCTACCCGCTGTGCTATCGCTTTCTCATTGCTGTCAGGGGCCTATTTGTGAATGAGCAATTACCTGTACTGGTTAGGAGTGACAATTCAGGTAATTTACAAATAGATGAAAATATCCTTAAGAATTACTAAGATGCTCTATTATTCTTAGTTGTCATTTTTCCTGACTTTGTTACATTTTTGTGCGGAAATCATAGCTGAAGCTAATTTCTTCTGGGCAGTAAGATAGGATCAGATTCTCAATTTGCAAGTGTGTGTGTGTGTGTGTGTGTGTGTGCGCGCGCGCGCGCAGGTGAGCTCATGCATGTGTGTCTGTATGTCTGTAGATACATGCTCCTACAAAGAAAGCAAAGAAGAGCTCTCAATAGAGCCTAGAGTTGAGCATCGAGAAGATTGAACACAGAGAGTAAATTGCAACTAGTAAAGAGGCATATGCAAATCCCAACGAAGCAAGTCCAGCTGCCCTAGACTGTGGGATGGTCTATAGGCCAACCATTTCCCCGAGAGCCAGACTAATCTTAAAGGGGTTGACAGACCATAATGAGAAAACAGGTCTTCCGATATTAGAAAACATAAGATATTTTAAAATCATCGGGCAACTAATACCCAAAATCCAAACGTATCTGGAAAAAATCATGAGGTGGTCAGGAAGAAGCTGCAGCTATGGCAAATTTGTGCTGTTGATAGCGGCGATGGCCGTGGTGGTAGCTATGGGGATGGTGGAGTGTGTGTGTGTGTGTGTGTGTGTGTGTGTGTGTGTGTATGTGTGTGTTTGTGATAGAACTTCTGTCATTTTAAAAAATTATATCGGCAGTAGGTAATGTCAGTAGAAAGTTTGAAGAGGGATATAGTCTGGTAACACATTTCTGATTTTTGCAGCTTTTGCCCCAATTGTTCTTGATACAAAACCTTTGGCATGCTATTTTTGAAATTAAAGAACAGGTACATTATCAACAATCTTATGCTTAAAACTAGAGCTACAAGCTAAACGTTTTAAGAATTGTTTTAAAAAGGTGAATTTTTCTGGAAAAGTGGGATTTTTGAGAAAAAATTACTTACTGATAAATGCAGTTTCTCCCAAATAGCCTCTACGCTTTAGAACAACATCTAGAAATTTGGCGTCCTCGTTGATGAGGTAATATTCCTTTTCAAAGGAAATCCATGCCCAATTCAGACGAAAATGCTGTTTGGTTAGCTTGTTTCCACCTGAAAAACAGAAATATAAAGGCCACATTAATGTTTTATTGACTGCACCTTAAAAATTATACCTACTACTTTAATGAGGTTATCATTAAAGAGGTTAACATTAAGAATCACTTAAACTATTTGGTTTGATACACATTTCATGCTACCATTGAATGATTTTTATATAATAATACAGTGATGATATTAATCATACCAATTTCTTATCTTTTTAGGGAGGGGTAAAGGGGTTTACAGTAGAGTTCCAGAGATGCAACCATCAGAGCCACGGAACCACGGTCCTCTCGTTGTTCATCGATTTACTCGAGCGGGCCCACTAACGTCTCCATCGTGAGACTTGTTGCTGTGTTTGGCATATTGAAGACGTCAGGGGTAGCTTGCCAGGCTCTGCTGCGGGGTCGAGCAGTTTAATAAAATCAAGCATGCAAGCTGTGCAGAATGCCTTATAGGCCACAAGGTGCCGCTGAAGAGCAAGTTCTTTCCTTCGAGGAGACTGCAAGGTTCATTTGTGATGTTAAAAACACAACTTCCCAAATACCCTTTTCTGGCTCACTGAGCAGTTGGGTGGAAGGCTTTAATTATAACCACTTAAGAAAAAACAAATATCCCTTCTCTGCCTCCCTTCCCCACTAGATTCCACTCCACTCCCTAGAGTAAACAGGCAGCTCTTTTCATCGATCCCCTTCTCCTGTGAAGATAAGGCTTTCTCATCCCACCCTCACACTAACGCGGAGCTGGATGCCTACCCCAGAAAGGAAGCTTTGTGTGTGATCTCTCTAATGTGAAAACTGCTAGGCCAGGTGAAAGAAAAGAGAAACGGTTATCAGCTGATCAGTCTGCATGCATCCCTTAGCTTCTTTTGATCTAGACCAATTATTTTGGAGTAAGGTGAGGTTTATAAACAAAAGCATTAGTAATTTCTTTTAAGTCTTGGGGTGGGGGAGGGGGGTGGGCTTTGACTCTGTTAAAGCCCAAGTAGTAAACAGAGCTCGAGGCACATTTTAAATTCAATTTCTTCTCTTTGGAGTTCACAGAGAGCTCTGCTCTAGAGAAGCAGAGACAGGAAAATAAAAATGACTTCAGTAGTCCGACGGCAAATATCTGCACAAGGTAAATCACTGGAATGAGCAAGACAAGAAAAAAAAAATGTTCACCTTGGCTAGAAATTAAGAGCTAAATAAAACTTCAGTGTCTGGGAGTTTTCAACTGGCGTGTATGAAGAATATTAATTTCGTGTTTGCGGTTGAATTAAAAAGGATCACAAGTTGGGTTTCTATGTATTTATTTCTGACAGTCACATGGCAATGTGTGCAAGAGCCAAAGAAAACTGTTCTTTATTTAGAAGGGACAAGTGGGTCACACCAGGGTTAGTTCTGACTCTGTGCCCAGGGATGACTCCTAGTAGTGTTTGGAGGACCACAAGCAGTGCAAGTCATTAAACCAGGGCTAGCTCCATACAGGGAACGTGCACAGATAACCCCTGTGGTATCTCTTTGCCATCCCAACTCATCCCCCTCTCATAAAGGCATTCTTACCGTTGGATCCTGCAAGTCCTTTTGTGGGAGAAATAAAAATTAAAATGCAAAGAAGCATTCTTTGCAAGACTTTCTACAATATTTCCCAAATGGAAAACAAGACAATTTTATTATAGTACGACAAATTAAAAAATATTAGCCTATCATTAAATAGTCAGACATTTCATAGAAATAGTTAAAATCTTAAAAATAGAAGCAAGTCTGTGAAATTATCAGTATCAGACAAGGCATTAAAATGAAAGCTGCTTGTTGTTTTATATGATGGTGTTGTGGACCTTAAAATATTTTTTAGTTTTCAAAGTATGAATGTACACAGACTACCGTCATTATAAACTTAAGTCCTGCATCTCCTGGGCTCTGGGTGCTGTTCTGGACAGAAGATGCCACTGGCCATGGGCTCCTCAGTTCTCCATTCCAATGTTCATGTTCCTTCCTCTCTGTTGTCTCACCTGACCTGCACTTTTTCTTTTCCCTTCCCTTCCCTTCCCTTCCCTTCCCTTCCCTTCCCTTCCCTTCCCTTCCCTTCCCTTCCCTTCCCTTCCCTTCCCTTCCCTTCCCTTCCCTTCCCTTCCTCTTCCCCTTCCCCTTCCCCTTCCCCTTCCCCTTCCCCTTCCCCTTCCCCTTCCCCTTCCCCTCCCTCCCTCCCTCCTTCCCTCCTTCCCTCCCTTCCTTCCTTCCTTCCTTCCTTCCTTCCTTCCTTCCTTCCTTCCTTTCTTTCTTTTTCCTTTTTGGATCACACCCTGTGATGCACAAGGGTTACTTTTGGCTCTGCACTCAGAAATTTCTCCTGCCAGGCTCAGGGGACCATATGGGATGCTGGGAATCTAACCTGGGTCGGCTGCATGCAAGGCAAAAACACCCTGCCCGCTGTAGTATCTATCGCTACAGCCCCTGACCTGAGCTTTTTCATCTGAAGCATCAGTGGAAGCTGACACAAATGAAAGGCTCTGGCTGGTGAGCGACATACAGGACAACCTCCAAGTACACGTAGTTCACAGTGTACAAAGAGATGAAAGGGATAGCTAGGAAGCTTTATTCACCAAGCATCAGCTCACTCCCTTTTTGCAGCGCCCAGGCTCAAATCTGCCCTGCACACCCTCTACCGATCCCGAGTGCCTGCAGTTCCCTTGTGCTCAGTTCTCCTTTTCTACAGTTTTGCGCCCATGAAGTCCAGCCATCCTTTCACATTTCCAGCTGCACCCTGACCTAACCTGTCTTACTCCAATGATCTGCTCATTTGTGGTCCAGCCTAGTCAGCCTTTTGCAGTTGCTATATTCTCTCCTATTGTTACCACTGTCCTCTTGGGTAAAATGATGATGACCCCCCATGGATCTTTTGCACACATTCCCTAGAAACTCTGATCTCTCCATCTCCCCCCCCCCCCTCCTTCCCACATCCTGCAGGGAAGTACCCCTCTCATCTCTTTGTAATGCTACAGCTATTCACTTCTTGATGGCTTTGTATAGGTCTATACTTTTAACTTTAAGGCCATCCTCTCATGCTGTTGAATTGGATTAATTTACTAATGGTACCATTTTCTGTCAGAGATGGAGACAGGCCATTTGGTTTTTTATCCAGCCCCCAACACTTGGTCTTACTGTTGATTAAAAATCTTCTTCTTTATTGTGTTTATGTTCCACTGTTTGGAACATTTCTTCTCTAAAGGAATAGGAAAGAAAGCATGGAGTTAGCCTGTATCAATTTGTTGAATAGACCAAAACAATAGGAAAGAAAATATGACATAGAAATAGTCAACTATAACATAAAAGAACTATGCCACATTTTCTCATTCGTATTGTGGTTCCAGAAAGACCCAGATTTTATGGCAAGCCCCTTGTCATGTTATTTTATGCCATGCCCTGTCCATCCTAACACCCACGGCTTTGCATCCCATGACTTCTTGCAGTAAAACATCCATTGTCATCCTACCTCTCTTTGTTTTCTGAATAGGATGGGTGCTTTAGTTCTGCCATATTTCCTGCCCAGAATATTCTTAACTTTTATGTTCCTAGGAATAGGTCCTGTTTAGGTCAAGCACGTCTGCCTACAGTTCAAGATGCCAGAATTAGCAGGCAGTGTGTATCATATATCTCTAATCAAAGTAACACTCACTTTTTATCATCGTACATATACATGTCTACTACTAGCTGTCTGAGCTCCCCAGGAAAGAAAATTCATGGGAAAATTCATGCTCTCAGTCTCCAAGTCCAAAAGAGGGCCTGGCATAATGGAGACTTTTGACATACACCCTGAAGCAAGAAATCTATGGAATAAGTATAATTCTTTCTTATAAACAACTGTTGAGATTTTTGTTTTCTTCATTTAAAAAAATGTTTTTCAGCATATGCGAACAAAGCACATACTGTAGTTTTATTTGACTTACCATTAATAACCTTAAATCCAGTCACTTGCTTTTGTGGTTAGAAAATTGTATTTTATGGTCTATACATTAGTCCTGACTATTTCTTTCCCCATCTCCAAGAATAAGAGAACACTAAACAAAGAGTTTCTCTATTTTTCTAAGTTTTGACCATTTTTAGCTAATTTAAAGATATGGGTTTTTTTTTCACAGCACCCAAAAAGAGAGAGAGAGAGAACAAAAGGGAATGCTCTGCCACAGAGGCAGGGTGGGATGAGGGGAAAAGGAGGGTGGGAGGGATACTGGGATCATCGGTGGTGGAGAATGGGCACTGGTGGAGGGATGGGTACTCGGTCATTGTATAACTGAAACCCAAGCACAAAAACTTGTAAGTCTACAACTGTATCTCATGGTGTTTCACTAATAAAAATTAAAAAAATAAAGATATGGTTTTTTAATGAAATATTCCATAAAGAAATAACTCCTCTAAATAATATATGCATTGGGGTTAACTAGTGAGGCCTTTTCTTGACACTTTGTATAAAACAGTGAGACCCAATTTAAACACCAGTATTCTCTCATCTCTTTATTCTGATTCATTTCTCTCCAGAATGCTTTCCACAATCTCCTATTTTATGTCAATAATATGTATAATTTTTTGTGTTTGCTCACTTTTTGTCTTCTTTCTTGTAGCACAAGATACAGGAAAACAGGGCATTGATTTTAGATGCTGGTAGAAAAAATATCTACCAAATAAATAGATAATGAATATAGAATCTATAATAGAAATGAATTAGAAAATTCACAGGAAGCACATTATCAAAAATCTTGGTTGAAGAGAATCAGTAGTGTTTCCTTTATTGGGGAACATAAAGGTACTGTGTAAATATAAGACCATTGCTTACTGAAACGTTTGAAAAAGGTATTGTTTGTAACAGCACCCTTTCTCCAGCATCTTACTTACTATCGTTTATTCTATGTGAAAACTTCTGGTGTTTGAATTCCTGGGATTTGTGTTAAAGGAAAAGGCCCGGAAGCTCTGGTGATGCTTTCGCAATCTAGGCAAGTTTATTATAAAACTGGATGAACCGTTTTAAAGAGAGCTAAG